CGTGTGTGTGTGGAAGGTAAAAGCTAGGATACCCTGGAAGAAATGGTTTCCATTTTTTAAAGTGTAAATGGTGGGCTCTTGCAAAAACTAGGAGGCACAGTCAGATGTCAAGTTTGGTGGAAAACTGTCCACGTTGTCCTCACTTAAGTGTGCAAACATTTGTTTTGGTCTGCTTTGGTTTGCTCAGGGGAATTGAATCGCATCGGTATCTTTTTTATTTTTTCATTTTTTATTTTTTTGTAGTAGACGGGAAGTGGATGACTGGAATGAAATCAATGGGAGATCACTGCTCTCCTTGGGATTCACCCAATCACGGCGTTTCACTGAAGCAGCGTGGAGCCTCATTTACTTGTTGGTTTGAGCCTTTTCTAAATGGAACAGAAACGGGAGTGGGGGGAGGTTTTGGGGTGCTGGCTTTTTTTATCGAGCTGGAAAAGTAATTTGAATTTTATGTTTCAGCACCTCTTGCATTTAATCACAGTCAATATCCACACTCTGAGAGAGCTGATCAGGATGGCTGTAGCTCATGTCCCGAGGAAGTGATTAGACTCTGATACTGACATTACACAGACGTGTTGGGCAGTCGGGTCACAAATTATTTACCTGACATTTATTTGAGTTGACTGATGAGGTTTTTCAAGATGTCAGGCCAATGTTAGGGTGGTATAACGACGGCAAATGTAGATGTACAAGTGGGTTTTTTTTTCATTGTGAATCTGTTTTGCACAAAGAATTGGAACATTGTACCATCGTTGCATTTTTTTAATTTTTTAATTTTTTTTTTTTTGTTGCTTTTTGGTTTTGTTTTCGCTTGACTGTGTGTTTCATTAAACTCATCACAGATTTGACATCTCACTGTAAGCAATCAGCTTCACCCACCGGCAAACAACTCCCCTGTTTCCATGGTTATTAAACCAAACAGGCTTTGCAGAAATGCCAGCAGAAATCACTCAGCAGTGGAAACCAACATGGAAAAACCTTTTGAGAATCACAACATTTGAAAAGTGGATATCATTTGTGGGGGCTTATTGGGGGGATTTTTTGTTGTTTTTCTTTTTTCATCTGAACCTTCGGCTTTTCTGACAACCACACCGCAAAGTTCACATCTGCACTTACCCGTTTGTGCTGTGTCCTTGATTCTTTCGGCTTTGAGAAATAAATAAATAAATAAATAAAAATAGGCTCTAAATGAACTCTGTTTCTTCCTGCCAGGTGAGGATGACGACGACGAGGAGTGCGGGGAGGAGAAACTGCCGTCGTGCTTTGACTACGTCATGCACTTCCTCACCGTCTTCTGGAAGGTTCTGTTCGCCTTCGTCCCGCCCACCGATTACTGGAGCGGCTGGGCCTGCTTCGTCGTGTCCATCTGCATGATCGGACTGCTCACTGCCGTCATCGGTGAGCGCAAAGTCCCAATGAAGTAGTTCACCGCACAGGTGCATCGTGATAAAAAAAACAAAAAGAAAGACAAGAAACTCGTTCATAGAATTTTTATTTCAAGTGCTTATATTTGTTCACTTTAATAATCATCTTGCACAGTGTCACCACGGTCTATAAAGCAAGTTTTGGCACGTTTTGCAGCGTAAACATGTGCAAAGTCCTGTTGGGGGGATCGAAGGAAGCATGAAGTGTGGTAAATTTTCTCAGTAGATCGCTCTGCTGACTTTGGGCTTGATAAAGTGGACCAACAGCAGCAGATGTCATGACGCCCCAAATATTGACTGCATCTGTAAACTTTCTACTGGACCTCAAGAAACGTGGATTCTATTCTTCTCCACTCTCAGAGTCTTAGTAGTTTCTAAATGAAATCTAGAATAATGCCATCTGCAATGGGACATTTGCAAATCTTTGAACTTTGCTTAACCAATCGTCAGAAGGCTGCACTTACCCTTGTTGCTACCTTGTTTTTTGACATACTTTTTTCTTCCACCCAACTTTCCATTTATACGTTTAACATGTACAGGCCAGCTAACTCCTTCACTTGACAGCTGTCAAGTCAAAATTCTTGATATTTTGTTGGCCCATCAATACTCATAGTGATTCTGTGTAAAAAAAAATATTAGGTTAGTTACTAGTTGTAAACTGTAATTATCAGACTAGATCCACATAAAACTTTGAAATATATTTCTACAGTTGAATAAAATCTCTGTTGTATGACTTTCACTTTTTAAGCTGAAGTTAATTCACTTTTGCACAAGTGAATAAATTCATATTTCTACATTTCATTTGTTTACGTTGACCAGGTTGCCATTTTAAGCTTCATGCAGTGCGACGTTTAGCATTTCCTGTCTAAATGACATCACTGTGATGCACTTCCTATGATATTTTGCAGGGGATCTGGCTTCTCACTTTGGCTGCACCGTGGGCCTCAAGGACTCCGTCACTGCGGTCGTATTTGTGGCGCTGGGAACGTCTGTGCCAGGTGAGAGCATGTTCATGTTCTGAGTATTGTGACGCTTTAGTAAGGGGATTGATGTTTTTTTTTTTTTTTTTTTTTCTATCAATTTTACAAAAACTAACGCTTAATTCTCCAAAATGGTGAAACAACAGTTTTACAAGCAACAAGCAAATATCTCAGCACTTATCATCGGGCATTTTTAAACGTTTTATCCTTGTGGTTTAGATTTGCATTCACCCACAAGGCAGAGGCAGAAAAATGTTTTCTAAGCACCAACATTCTCCTACCAAGCAGATCCTTGTGGGCCACAGAAATCTCATTTAAGTTCACAGAATTCCCTGCTGAGCCTGGAAAGCTCCGAGTTAATCCGCGCCAGGTCAGAATGACTTCCAAACATCGTTTCCGTCAAGTAAAAACACATTGATCCAAAACAAATGGTCTCCAGAAGTTGTTTGTGAGCATCTAAGCTTTTTTATTCACAAAAGTAGATTTTCTTTTTTCAACTTAATGTTTTACTAATTCTTGATAGCATTTCCGTTAATTAAAAATGAATGTGCAAGGCTCCTCAAGTCACTAAATTTAATGCTGCACATAGTTGCACTAAACGTCGGGATTCTTGCAGCATAATAACCTTGAGGAATAATGTAGTTGCTTGTTGACGTCACAGAATTAGAAAGAAAAAAAAAAGCTTTTAATGAAACTAAAAAAACAAAAAAAAACAGCAGTTCTGACTAATGATTATTACAGGTATATCTGAAGTTGAAATATTTACTTTAAAATAAAAAAAATAAATAAATCCCTGCTACTTTTATTGTACATCTTGAAATGCTTGTTGCGCATAAAGTTATGTTTTTGCTGCGGTCCGCTGCTTAACAGACTCTCCTTCATTTGAGCTTGCTGATTCAGTGTGCGGCAACAGGTGGGGGAGGGTTCAGTGCTTCGTAACCCTGTGCTCCACTGAGGTGGAAAAATAAAACTCCTGGCACTTTCTTCGAAATATTAACTGTAGGAACATGATGTTTAAAAAAAAGTTTATCAGTCATTTGAATAACTCGATGTTGGTAGCTTTTCCAAGTCCCTCTGAAATAGGCATCACTGTTTCTTTTTTTCCCAAAATGCTCATTATAAACTTCCACTGTTGGATTTTCCATCAGCTTAATCAAATCTTTTCTCCCCTTTTTCATTTGGCATTTAGCTCCATAAAGTCATTATGAGCAAAATTTCCTCTGGTCAGCAATTTTAGGTATAGATGTGTGTTAATCAGTGACCCCCCTCAGGGATCATTCTGTCGGCATTTTCACATTTATCATTACCAGGAACTTTCGTTATTAGACCTTCTTCCTTTCATTTATAATACGGAGTAAAAGTTTTTCTACACAGTTAGTTCAACTGTTTCCATGACGGCGATTACGGCTAACAGAAACATGGTTGATGGATAGACATTTGAAGCCCCGTTCACCCTAACAGGAAGTTAAAGCGCTTATCATGCGATTACATATTATACTGCAAATGCCAAACGAGCAAAGAACCGACACGTTTACCTGCAAACCACGTAACCCGACAAATGCCAACACAACTTGTTGTATTGCGAGCACAGCGTTTTGGTATCGCAGCCCCATTCGTCAAGTTGCACTCAGGTGGTCTGTCCTCCTATTCGGGGGATGAAGGTAATGTGCTGTGTGTGTCCTACACACATGTACACACCCAGAGAAAAATGCACACCTGCCAACAGCCGCGTTCACAGACCGATACATCAGCTAGGAGACGCCAGAAAGTCGACTGCAAACAGATGTGCACACGGTCTGCAGAGTTTCAGAACAGGAATAAAAAGTGCTATCGCCTTCTCGAGGCCGCCAACCCAGTTATGACACACACACAGACACACACACACACACACACACACACACACACACACACACACACACACACACAAACAAGCTCACACACATTGACATGGAGAAACTGAGCCCTGGTGCTGTGGCCATTAAAGTTAATAAAACCCATCCTGTGCTGCGGTTCCAAGATGATTAACCTCGTGTATCACAGTTAGCTCAGATGATGCGCATAAACAGGCGCAGAGCTGAGGAAAAGGAGAGAGAGAGTTGAGAGGGATGGTAACTTGAATGGGTTTGGACTTGGCAAAAGCCTCGTTTGCAATAATTAGTTTAGGGCTAAACAGTGTTTGAAAGGGGCAGTATGCATTCAGAAAATAGAGGCGAGTAATGGGGCAAGAAAATATCACAATTCTCATAGAATTATAGCTCTTAACAAAAAAACATTTACGTCGAGAAACATTTCTCAACCAATTTTGATGTGACTGTTTCTACCAATTCAGAAAATGCAATTTGATTTAAAAGTTAGATTATACCAAAACTGCCAGGGCAGTGCACTTGCTACATAACAGCAGAGCATATTCCATCATAAGTCTTCTGCACCAGTTTATCGGTGACATAATATTGGCATTATTGTCATCCTTATTTCAGCAGTGGCAGTGGTATTGCTAATGTTTTTTGTAGCTACACACAGTCACTTCGCTTCATCAATAACCAGCAAATCCTCTGCAATACATTATTTTTGTCAGGTGCAAACTGCATTCTGTAACCCCAGATGTACTATATATACTCAGATTGCTGCATTACAATAAGCAGAAAGGATACTGCAAAATTCATCCATCATTCCTTTTCTCTATTAGATAACCCCCCCACCCCCGACCCTCCAAAATGTAAAAGGAAAATAACACAAGCCGAAAAAAAAAAAAAAAAAAAAACAGCTTGAGCACGTCATCACTCCCAAGCCTCCTCCTTCCAATTTAGGAGACAACAGGGAAAAGATGACCAGGGAGAGAGAGTCAGGAGACGTAGGCAAGGGGTGAACGGCGAGGTAGAGGAGGAAAAAGGGCAGGACGTTCTCCGGGGAGACGTACTGTCACAGAAGGAGCCGCAGCGTCAAAGCCGCTTTGCACAAACATGCAGTGAGCTACTGAACACACAGGCACCCACACACACTCCCACTCAAATCAGGCTCGCGGAGCACTTGCAAGAGCAACTGAAGCACACACTCGCAAGCCTTTGCCAGCTGGTGGAGGCATGGCATTAGATTGGACCCAGGTGGCCTCGTTCACAAAACACACAAGCGCTGTTTATGCGGCCACTTCTCTCCTGGAACTCGCACACGTGCGGGCTTATGGTACATCGGACTTGACGCAAACAGAGCCACGGTTGGGCCAAACTGGAATGTCTCTGAAAGCATCGAGGTGCATTGGGAGGCAGGGCTGGTTTTGTCTTTGCCGGACTATTTTAGTACGTTGTCTTGACCCTCGCTTTCCGCTTGCAAGCTGTCCTTCCGGCCATTCTTTTTCCATCCCATTGCAAATGCCAACTTGGCCGTCGCTGCCAGGAAGCTCTTATTCATCTTCTGTTCCTTCACCTCTCTGCTTTTACGTCGCCTTTCTCTCTTCGCTCTGCCTCGGCCGGATAAAAACAAGATGGAAACTCCTGCAACAATGGCGCGCGGCTGGCTAATTAGTGAGAGAAAAAGAGTGCTGACTGGCTATTTGTTCACCCAAAAAGCCTATTGTCAAGATTTGGCAGCGCCTTCACATATTCTGTCAGTAAAGTAATAAAGAGCGTTTCCCCCTCAGAGCTTTTGTTGCTCGGCAGACATGAAGCTAGGAGGAGGGTTTGTGGGGGGATGCTCTTTAGCCACCCGGCCAAAAGTTGTTTGTCTATGAAAATGGAGATTCATCCCTCTAAATTATTGATTAGGGGAATAAATCCCTTCTCACCCGGACAGCCAACACGGCTACAAGACTGTGGTGTCCTAATTTAATCTTTGCTCTTTGAATTTGGAAATTGGCTCTGCAGGCTTACCTGAATTATCACTACAGAACTAAAGCTAAGCTAATGTGAAGCTGCGGTGACTTCATCGTATCATGCAGTGTGTGTTGGTGTATGTAAAAACATGATGTATGTGGGACTAAACACATAAAGCTTGAAGCTCTCTAACATATATAAGGCTTGTGTATTTTCATGTGCCTGGCTTCGTGTGGCGCTCGTATATTAGGATGAAGGGTGTGAAATTCAGTGTTGGACTGTGTCAAGGTGGGGTTTGGTACTTTGTCAGTGATATTAGTGTTTTTATTGTTTTCTTTACCCCTCATGATGATCGTTTGAACACCTTAGGAGGAAAGTTCAGTGGTCTTGTTCCTCTGCAGACTGGAGGAAATTTGGAGAATCGCAAAATTTGATTTCCCATTTTCTGGGTTATAAGTATGAAAAAAGAAAATGAGAATATGGACAAACATTTCCATTTTTCAGACTTTATTTGTTGCCCTTTTGCTTAAATTTGTCCTTCTTACATTCTGACCTTTCTAACTCCCTTCATTGCTTCTTTATATCCTTCCAATTTTATTATCCGCCTTATTTCAGTCCATCGTGTTCTCACTTTTTGTTCCTTCATGTCTTTCTTTTTTTTCTATCATTATTCCGTCATTCATTACCTGCCTTCCTTCCTAGTCTACCTCTTTCTTCCTCCCCTTTGCCTCCTTTTCTCTTTCTTTCTTTCTTCCTTTCTTTCTTTCTTTCTTTCTTTCTTTTGAATTCTTCCATTGCCATCTAAAAATCTCAAAGAATTTTAGAAAAAGCGTGAAAATAATAGTATTTTTGTAGTTTTAAAGACAAGCCTTTTGATTGTGACCTAAACCAAAGTTTATATGGCCACTATTATTACAGTAAAACTCCCCAAAAATAAAATGGAAAAAGTGGCATGGTGAGTTTTCTCCAATCTGTTTCACTTTTATTCTTTCTCTCCACACAGATACATTTGCCAGTAAAGTTGCAGCCATACAAGATCAGTATGCAGACGCCTCCATTGGCAACGTGACAGGCTCCAATGCCGTCAATGTGTTCCTGGGCATCGGGGTGAGTACGGAGCCAATTTCAATGTTTCTCTTTGCTGTTTTTGCCTTTTCAGCGACACTTTTCCAAAACCTAAGTGTGCTCCACATCACTAAGTTTGTGTCTGCCCCCCTTCTGGCAGGTGGCGTGGTCCATTGCTGCCATCTACCACAACAGCAAGGGCCACGAGTTTAAGGTCGACCCCGGCACTCTGGCTTTCTCCGTCACACTCTTCACCATATTTGCCTTCATCTGCGTCGCCACCCTGATGTACCGGCGGCGGCCGGAGATCGGCGGGGAGCTTGGTGGGCCCCGGACTGCGAAGGCCCTGACCACCATGCTGTTCTTCAGCCTGTGGCTTCTCTACATTCTCTTCTCCTCACTGGAGGCCTATTGCCACATCCAAGGCTTTTAAGAGAGCGAGCGGAAGATCCCGAAGAGAAGGGTGGGACAGAGGAACCGGAAGGATAGAAGAAAGGGAAAATAAAGGAACGGATTCTTGGAAATTTAAGGTTGTCTTATTGATCTATTACTCCCTCCCTTTGTGCAATACGTTAAATGACAAATGAATGGATGTATGTACAGGTGAAGGACTTTCAGGTGCACTCAAGCATCTAAAAACGCGGTGAAAGGAAGCAAAGGCGCGCGGAAGGACATCATACTTGAGAATTATAGCCACTACAGAAATTACTCAACTGATGGCAAAAAGGAATATAAAACAGAAAAAAAAAAATTCTCCCCTTACTCCACAAATCCTCACGCATCAAGCTGTCTTGACCAAATTCATGTTTAAACTCATAAGACAAACTTACTGACATGCACAGATGTGAAAAATGTCTTTTCTCCCAGATGAATCAGACATATTTCAAATATTCAGCCCGATCATCAGTGCTCCAAGTGTGATGATGTGGCCTAAATGGAAGACCTCCTCAAGTCGGAGCAATGATTCTCTTGTTGTCCAGCTCCAAAATAAAATGTTAGTGCGTGCGCAACACACAGTAAGAACAAACCGGATTCTCGGCCACATCCAAGTATCGACAACAATCTGTGTGTCTGCAGGAGTAGGAGGGTGTGTTTATGTGCTTAGGCGCGGTAGGACGATGGTAAACTACTGTGAAAAAAAAATGCCTCTTGTTTTTGCTGTTGCTGCATTAAGACAAAAATGCTATTGTACTCGAGGTCCTCTTGACTCTCGCGGCTTGTAGAAAATGCTGAATTGGGAATTTCTGTTCTGGGAGGGGCCCGTTCCGTGTGGCGAAACTTTGATCATCGCCGGGGTGGCACGTGTAAATACTCTGAGGCGGACGCACGTTTCAACTCGATTGATTTCGTTCTGAATGTCTTGGTTAATGCTGCACGCCTCAGCCCCCTCCACCCCCTCGAAGGGCCCTTCGTTCTTGTTGCTTTATACTGTAGATGTAGATGGTTTAAGGTCCTTTCTCAATCAAAGTTGGTGGTGGGGGTTAATGTGCTTTTACCTTTAATAAGGCCATGTCTGAGAAGACACGCTGGCCACTCTACCGTTAAAAACTGTTAGAGAAACCATAGTCGTCGCATTAATATCAAAGTTAATCTTTATTGTTTTTTGTTGTTGTTTTTTTTAACACTGTGGGAACGTCTTATTTTTCCCACAGCTGAGATTTCCACAACCATATTTCAGTGAAATCATTGAAAATCATACATGCAAATATCTGCAAAACCTGATGGACTTTCTGTCAGATCTGTTCGACACGGTTTGACTCTCTAAAACAAGTTTGGACAACATCCCTTCTCCTAAGCAACCCGGTGCCGGTTGTCCGGTGAACCGTTTGAATACTTCTAATATCAAGGGCTTTGTTACAACAAAATACTAATTCCTGATTCTGGCTTTTGGTTTAATCATTCTTAAAACAGATGTACATTGGTCAACGGCGAGGGCAATGTAACACATGATGATGAACTTTGTTGACTCTTACTTGATAGAACTTTGCTTCAGAGGAGAAAGTATTGAGTCTAGTACTAAGAAGTGCTTGATTATTGTCTCGATTTGCTCAGATCAAAATCACATCCCTAGTTGGGTCCTGTCCCATTTCGACTAACGCTGTTGGTCTTTCTTTAAGCTACGTCAACTCATAACACGGCATAGCTCCCTTCAGTCTGAATCACAACGGAGTTTAACTACAAGGCAGTTGCCATTTTTTTCATAAGTGTCTATTTTGTAAGACCAAATATTTAGTCCAAACATAAAAGCCAGTTGATGAGAGAGAGAAAAATAGGATAATGTACAATTTTAATAACCAGATTGTTGCCTTGCAAAGGTGATGATGCGCCTAAATGATTTCAGTGTGTTGTTTATATGTTCAGACTGTTGAACATAAGACCTTTATGTCTCTGATTCACTGGTAGAATTCTAAAAGGAAAAAAAAAAGTCCAGTTTTACTTAATAACGTAGGACCCAAATGGTTGTCCTATAAATTCTGTTATTACTTTGACTAAATTTAAAACTAGCCACACTTCTAAGGAAGCTAAGAGAAGAATTTCATTGTCTGATTGCAGAGAGGCAGTGGTCCAAATGACAAAAAAAAAAAAAGAAAATTACATTAAAACATTAGTTTTACTGTCCGTTCATTCTACCTACCTGACTTTGCAAAACTAATCAAAACTCATCCAAAACCAGACATTAAAACGGTGAACATACCCTCCGAGATGTTGGTGTTAAACTTTACATCAACAGGAGGAAACAAAGAAGCCCAAAATATTAATAAGCCTAATTTGACTGTGAGAAGTTTAGACTCAGACTGTTATTTTATTTATTCAGCTACAACCATAAGGATCTCAGCGTACACACACTTGTACTATAGCACTACTTTATGCAACTTAATTGGCAAGTATTTCCCATGTGAGATGTTTTTTTTTTTTTGTTTGTTTTTTTTACTTGATGTACAATAAACAGTATTTTAAATTTTATCTGTAAAATAATTAGTCTGGACTAGATGTAAACCGTTGTAAACTTAGCAGTAATTTTGTCGAAGACCGTTGTCGATGCCAGTGAGAGTCGAGCAGAGGCCTTCATTGGATGTAAATCCAGAGAATTTTGAAGGACATTATAAATGTTCTAAGTTTTATAAAACAACTGAGTAGAGTTGTAGACAATTAGCTGATAGTAGAGGACGTTTGATCGGATAAAGATCCAACAACCTGGCTCAAGACAGCCATTTGCGTTGCTAATGAAACAAAATGGCAGAGGAAAAAAACCCCAACTCTGGAATATGAAAAGCTCTGTATTAGACAGCAGTTGTCGTATGAAGCCTTTGGAGTGGCAGTTTACCCCTATTTTGCCAAAGGGACATCTTTCTATCAGAAATATTTGTAACCCATCCAGTAAATGGTTTTCTAATCAACATCTCTTTCCAAAAAACACCAAATATATTATCACCTTTCTTTAAGGAGCTACAGGAAATGGGTGTTGTTTAAACCTTTCTAGGTCAATTTTTTATGTATTTGTCTCTTCACTGGCATGAAGCTGAAGGTTTATACACTGTAAACAACTTAAAATGAAGTTATGCTAGCACGTGAAAAAAAAAAAAAAATGTAAGAAGCTGCATTAACTTTAAATGACTTCAAAACATGAATTTTCTTAGATGTTCCAGAAAGTCTACAGGAATGAAGCACTTGCAACAATGCAGTTTTTTCTTTTTTTTTTTTTTTATGCATTCAGACCATCAGTTGCACAATTTTACCAGAAGCAAACGTTTTTCTTTCGCTAAAAGGCGAGCGTTCTCTCTTGCAACACCAGCATTGTTGCACACGGTTTCTATATGCCTACCTTGACTGGCGGCCTTGGCTAACGTGAAGCTAAAGGGAGCGGTTCTCACCATCAGAACCAAGGTGGGGAAGCTAATTTACTGGCTAAATGTTTAGCGGCAACCAGCAAGTCTGCTAGTCATGACTGTAAATACAAAACAGGCAGTTGTTTTTTTCTTTTTTTTTTAATTCTTTAGCCTATTTTTCTTAGCAAATAATTGCAATAGCTCTCGAGTTAGCTTCTTGGCTTAGGCCTGCGAGTAACAAGTCTAGAACACAAAACAAAAGCAATGATGGATTAAACAAATGAGCTGTAGACTGCAGTCATTTTTGGGTGTTTTTTTGCTGTTCAATAGTAAGATTTTAATATGAAGGAAAAACCTTGCACTGCTTCATGTTGCCAAGTGAAACGGCTACAGAACCGTTTCGCTAGCAGAGTTGCTTTTGCTGTAAACAGATTTTTTTTTTGTTCTGACTGATTTACACAGTAATTACAATGTTCTTGTAAAAAAAAAAAAATAACAATAATAATCCAGTGGTGTTGAATCAGTTGTTAACCATTAATAATGTTGCTACTAATGTAAAAGTTGATATGTCTCTGTTGCCTAATTTACTCCTTAACTGACCGACTGTCTGACAGACTGAGAAATAAATACATGCAACACTGGACAGTCAAAGGAACGAGGGGAAAGGAAGGACGGAAGGACGGACACCCCCTCTGGTACGAGATGAGCAAAGAAATGTACTGCTGGGATTTAAGTAAAAAAAGGAAAAGAAAGTTACCAAGAGTTATTGTCTACCTTTAAAGCAACATTTAACAAATAAAATTACAGGATGCTAACAAAGAGTAGACAGAATGAAAAAAAAATATGTGGAGGACGAAGTTGAAAATAAAAATAAATAAATAATGAAGTTACAGCCATACATTGATTTCTGGGCCAGTGAGACAATGGACTCCTTCTGCCCAGCATGTGTATTGTTATGAAGTCTTATCTGTCCTCGTGTGTTTTCATTCCCTTCCCCTTTCTTTCTTTCTAAATGTCCTGCCAAAAGTAACCAAACACAGGCAGTAATCTTTGTTAAACTTCCTCCCCCGAAAAGCCACCGTTTCTCCCTATGCCAAGTTTTCCATGTTTTGGAATGTCGATGTGCTACTTGTTGACACTGTGCATGAATGATGACATGCCTGTACATAGTTATAGAGAATCGTATCCCATTCCTGTGGTGTTTGACGGGAAGAAGTCTGAATGTTGTACAGATTTGGATCTTTCCGTTGATCTTCTTCTTGGTTACGGTTTGGTGTAGAGCTAACATTTTGATTTTTTTTTTTTTTTTTGTTGATTCAAACAAAGCTGCAGAGTCTCTGAATTAATTGCACATTATCATTAACCGAGATTTATGTTTCAAAAAAGAAAAAGGCAATATCTGCTGTTATTGAATGAGAGAGGAGATAGCGGAGTTATATATCTTAAATCTATATGACAGTTGCATGGGTTATTTGTAAAAAATAAAAATAAAAAATCTTTGAAAAAAAAAAAAGCAGAAAATGGGAGGGGGCGGGGGAAATACATGGCTTGCTACTTTTAATACCATGGCTGTATTCTGACCAATGAAGAATACTGTATGTACATCTAAATGTTATTTTGTCTTTAAAGAAATCATATTGTGTATATACTGTACAGTGTTACCAGTGGGATGACCTATATGGCCATACGCTAACCATAGAGAATTAATTCAACATATTTATTTAAAAGGAAGAACACTCGCTACACTCAAGAATGACATATATTGCCTTTTTGGAGAAGTTAAAAACTTGTCTTTCTCTCTGCCTTGTCTCTCCTTTCCATAAATTCAGATTTTTCTTTTCTAGATGGGTTTGTTTTCCTTAACTCTACCAACTCGTTTGTTTCCTGTGCCCTTTGTTTTCCTGTTGTTTTTTTTTTGTGTTTTTTTTTTTAAAGTCGAGCGGTTGCCGTCGATTTCAGGCCGCATCGCGTTTTCCGTCAATCTTTTTGGCGTACTGTATGCCTGGCTGCTTTCCATACTGACTCAACAGTGTCTCTATGCTGACTCCCACCCACCTGATTTTCTGTCTTGTACCTCTTTATCTAGTTACGCACAACATATCTGCATGTGTCCTCAATGGTCTTTCCGTCTCAAAGAATCGCTCGTCTGTATTTAAGTCCCCCATCTGTCTTGTTTTGAACCATCTGTTAGACTTCTTGGTTCATTTTTAATCCTTCAAATCGCATCTTTCTTTAATTCACTCTGCCTGTCCTCCTTTTACCTCTAACACGGTGTAGTCGGAGAACTTCACATTTGCTGATTTGGTGTGTGTGTTTGTTTGGTTTGTTTTTTTTTTCTTTTCTTTTTGGGAAAATGGAACAATAACACAAGTTAGGTTTGCAATAATCGTTTTTTTTTTCTTGTTTTATAATTATATGCCTCGTTTCTTTGTTGGCATGTACGTGTGTTTTTAATTTTTGTTTAACACCAAAGGGTTAGGCAGAAAGTTGTTCTGTATGTGTGTCGCCACTAACTGTGACTGCTCTCCATGGTACTTCTGATAAGTCCAGTAAAATAAAGTTTGGGATACCCAGTTTCAAAGACAGCTTGTGTCCACTGCCTTTCTAAAGTGTGTCCAGTTTTGCTGATTTGAAATTGTTTTAACCGGTAGCCACAGTGGGGACCAAACAAAGGTCACACCAGCTCTTTTGTGCTATGCAGAGAAGACAAAAGTGCGGTCAGCGTCATCTCTTTTAATCTCACGCAACACGATAAGTACAAATGTAGAAAACTCACACCCCATTTAATCTGATGTTCTTTCAAAAGAAATGTTGAATATATGAATATCTGATCTTTCCTCTCTTTAAAGGACAGTCATTTTATTGCAGGACATCGCCTACAACTTAAACTTGTTTGACTTATTCATTACAGTGCGTTCACCCCAAAAACATTTTGAGCGTCTGGTTTACATTCAAAGTCTATGTGGAGGTGAGTTGAGGGTCGTTGTGGCGCGTTTGGAGCGTCTAGCACAGCGAGATTTGAACCGTTTGAAGCGTCAAGAGCGTCCGATGGAAAACGACGGTTATAGCTGACCCGTCAGACACGCCCTCGACGACCCGGCTCAATTTCAAACAAGATTCAAGGTTTTTCAAGTCCATCATGACCTGAATGGAATTTGTTTTGCATCTTTAAAGATAAGCATGTGGAAAACTGAATTATATTGTTAAATAATGAACATTGAATTGGTTCCAAGCCCCCTCCGTACCTCACCAAAACATGTGCAGCACTCCAAAAACAATCATTGTAAGCGCAACAGAGTAATTAACCCTACATCACAGTGTTGCTCGACACATTGTTCAGAGAAACAAAACAATGAGGACAACGAGCACAGTGTGAGATGTGTGTATGCATCAATCCAGCAATTAAAAAGAAACTATTTTTGAAACGACATCCTTCAATTCTAAATAAATTCCCATTATAACGATGTAAAACTCGCCGTGTTGTGTGAGACGGCTTGGTTTGAGTGGAGATGTGCGACATTCCACACGCCGCTTTGATTCCTCTGGAAGTGAACACCTCCAGTGTTGGCTGCCTTTGCCTCTTAGGCGTTGAGGGAGGAGGGAACTCGACACACAAGTCGAGTACAGGAAGCAGCAGCAGCAGCACATGAAGCACATTCCTTCACATCAAACCCAACACTGTGAAAAGCATGCAGTGGGCTGCCACGCTCTCTGGATCGTGTACTTGCTATTGACATCCTACACATTTATACCCAGAGGAAAATTCATACATTTGATGCCAATGCCAACAACACTATCTGAGAATGTTGCGAGGAGCAACCATTGAAAAACAGAAGCGGCAGCAGAAGCCAGCAGAAGCAGCAGCGTTGTGTCGGCTCCATCTTTAGAACGAAACTCTAGTCACCAGTGACTTTACATGTCTGTGATGCCCTAGAGAAGACATGGGCAAAATAAACTGTGGACAACGTAAAGTCCTAAAGACTTCAAGCAAAGGGCCAGGGGCTGAAGACAGTTTGAGAAAATATTGTGAAGAGCCTTGAACATCAAGCAGCGTCCAAAGTAGAAAGCCTGGTAAAAAAAAAAAAAAAAAATGAAGTAAATAGTTGTATGGCTTAAGGTTTATGTGTGACGTAATGAGGTCAGGAAATAAAAACTGGCAAATAAAGAATGGATTGAGCCGTTTAAGGTAAATGGAGTTCAATGAATTGATCAAGTTATCGATGTCCAACCAGTGCCATGTTCTGAAAAGGGCATCAACCAAATCACAATTCCTCTAATTTTATTCCAACGCCCCCTCTGTACCAGCATGGAAATTTTCAAGAGGTTTTTTTTTTTGTTTGTTTTTATCTGTACTTAGTAAACAAAGACTTGCTAGCTTATTTTCTGCATACTTGTGCAGAACATGATGCGAGCTTTGAGAAATAAAGTTGGTATTGCAGAGCCGCAGAAGACGGGCGTTGTATCGGACTCCAAATGGCGCCATGGACAAATGAAGTTAGATAGGTTTTAATAATGTTGCCATTGGTTTTTATCATTTGTGGACTCATAGTCTGGATGGAAGCAATTAATCCTTCAAAGACAAAATTGTCCATTTAAAAAGATTTGTATAGTTGGGGACTAAATTGGGGAGCAATATGGTACATACCATTTAAATATTTAAAGCTGAAGGATACACCTCGAGGTCTTACATGATACTGTTAAAAAGGTAACAGCATACTAATTTGTTTGAACAATTGGCTCATTACACTGACACGTAAAAGACATTTAACCAGCATTTTAACCTTTTGCTCATTGACAGCAACAAGAGGCAAGAAAAAAAACTCTTGACTGAGTCAACAGCATTGCTTGATACAGCACATCTCCTTTAACGTAGGCATGTAACTTTTATGCCACTTTTGTTTTTTGTGCTTTAGCAGGACAGTAATGAGTATCAACGGTGCACTAGCAATACAGATTACGAGAAGTGAGGTTCATACGCACGTGTCTCCCTGGTGTTTTAGTCGTGGGCCAGTTCGAATTTGAGAGCGTTCTTTTAAAAACACAAGTGACGTCAGTCTTCACTTTTTACTGTTGCTGTGTGGTAATTAAATGAATAGCACGGTTATGCAAAGTATCCCCTAATGTTCCCAAATATAAACCCAGACTTATTTGTTTCTTCAGGCTTTATTGAAAGTCTTTAACTTTAAAGCTCAACTGCATTCTTATTTGAGTTGAGCTAAATTGAATTTCAGCCAGCCATTCTTCTCCTTTTTTTTTTGTCTCGACGTCCCATTAACATCAAAATGCATTTCCATTTATTTATTCACTCCCGACAAGAAAACTGGCATTTGTCTGAATGCCTTGAAAGTCTTTGACTGTCATCTGACTTGTTCCCTCATTGTGTCTGAGAAGAAAAGCAACATTTGAATCGGTGCTGATTACTGCTGGTTGTTTTCTTGTTTCCCAGCTACTTTTGCAGCAGCTTTTCTCTCCAGCAATCTTCTTTTCTATTGCAAAAAAGAAAACAACATCTGACTACAGGACTTATTAAATCTCTCTGTACTGTAACAGATGTGGAATTAAATCATTTATTTTCCAACTAATTGTGATTGTAGTTTTACAAGAGGAAAGGATATTTTTGAGACAACCAAACAAGAACTCAAAGTAAAATGAAAAAAATAAATAAATAAATAAAAAATGAGAGAGAGATTCATGTTGGGAATGAAATAGGTGTCGGAAGTCATTTGAAATTTGACATGCCCTGACAGAGCACAAACATTTTATTCAAAATGTACATATACACATAATGCCCTGAGACAGAAAATCAAAGAGGATCTTCAAAGTAGAAACCCTGAGTGTGAAACTGTGTTATGGGCTTGTTTAGTAGGCGTATGGTCGGCTGATCTTTGCCAAAAAGTAACAGGTCGTTCACGTGTTTCTCATCGTTTTAAACAATCAGGATAGAATCTACTGCTCCACAACAGCTGACTAAAATGTATAGGCTTTAGCTGTTTAATTTTCTTTCTTCACACTGCCACTGTGATGGATAGTACCCATTCACAGTGATTTATCTTCCAGACTCCAATTGCGTCCTCTTCCTGTTTGAGGAAGTTTTTTTTTACTCTAATTTATTATAAACAAGCGCCTTCCCTCTGACCATTTGATATACTTCTTCAAGGACCTGTATTTATGATGCGCGTCGCCGAACGAGATTCCTCCGCCACTTGTTTTATGCTCTGCCGTCGGTGCAGGTGTTTGCCTCGGTTCTTTTCATCACCTCCCCGCTGTGTCGTGGCTCAAAATCTTGTTAGGCCGTCCATCAAATTGGATTTTTTTTTTAGACATGTTCTCGTCCGCTCGGCCCTTCCGCTCGAAGGTTACCGGGCGAGAAATGATTTTTGAATTGAAGTCTAACAGTGCTCGCGTGGCCGGCCCTGAATGCTGAGCGTGGCCTGAAACTGTCACAAAGTCTGCGTGGCTGTCAAATTATGAAGAACCACTTA